GGGCTCGGTGCCTCCTTCAGAGCCCATCGCAGCCAGGTTCCCCTGCTGCTGGGCTCTCCGAGGCCGCTCGGTAGAATCAGTTCGTCAGCATCACTTCTCCATCAGCGGTGGGCACCACCCCACCTGCACAGACAGGGACCGGGCTGAGGCCTGCCCAGCTCACTGCACCGATGACCGCAATCGGGCGCAAAATCCGCGTCCCCCCTGGGCGTGGGGAACCTCCTGCTCCCTGCGGGAACCAGATGCGGTTTTGGGGCAGGGAGCGTCCCACCCCTGGGGCGAGCCTTCCTGGGCACCTGATGGCCCGAGGGGAGAAGCTGTGGAGCAGAGCCGGGTAATGGAGGTGACAATCGGGTTGTGTCCCCCAGCTTCGGGGCGGTGGGAAAGGGGGAGCCTGTGGCCCCAGCCCGCTGCCCACTTGCTTCTGCAGTACGTATAGATGCAGGAACTACATGTGTGCTCCAGCCTGGGAGTGGTTTTGCTTCCACCCAACCGAGCCGGAGCGGTTTGGCTTTGTGTTTTGGCCCGAGGCCTGCGCCTTGTGGAGCGGGTTCCCTTTTTGGAGGAGAGGAAACATTGTGTTTTCCGGGAGGCTCAGAGTCCATCTCGTGGAGGTGAGAGGACCTGTGTTTCTGGGGAGCGTTTGGGAGCAGGAAGAGCTGGAAAGCATCGTGACAGCAGAGACTTGCAATGGTCAGAGCACACCTGACCATCCCGTCCCCCCCTTGGACACCAAACTTTCTCAGCCTGGCGCAGCCTCTTCCCAGCCCTGGCGCCTCTGTGCCACCCAGGAGCCATTCTTTTGCTCCCACCCCATCCCCTTTCCTTCTTTGGTGTTTACATTCTTCAGATACTTGCAGGCTGTTATCACGTCCCCTGTAGCCCTTCTTCAAGGCAGAGCAGGCAGCTGCCTCTCCTTAACCTGTTGATGTAAGCCAGTCTTTCCAGGCATCACCAAAGCCCCTGGCTACTTGGGACCCCCTCTCGTGTCTCTACCTGGCCAGTTGCAGGGCTGAACATACAACTCTGGTGGGTACAGATGCGACCAGGCTAAATTGCTCCTGCCCTGTCCCATGCTGCAGCCTTGCCGTCTGCAGCCTCAAGCTGTGCTGCAAGGCCATGCGTTTTGCCGGGGGTGCATCCTGCCACATCCTTGCATCTCCGGCACCCGGATCTCTCCCAGCAGTTCGGCTTTCCTGGACGTTTCCTCCGCCCACCGCAGGGCCATTTCCTCTGGGTGGGGGGTTCGGTTTGAAACCCGCTCTCTTCTCTGCTGGTGTCCCAGGCTCTTTGTGGCAGATGAGGAAGCTGGGTTTTGTTGTGTGAAGGGGGAGAAAAGTGGCTTTAAGTACTTTGTGCATCAACTGGTGCCTTGTCCTCTGGTGCCAGCCCTGCTATGACAATAACGGTTCAAAGCCAATTCCAGGGCTGTGGCTTTGTGTCTGGGGCTGGCAGGGAAAACATGAGCCCTGTGCAATTCGCCCACTTGGAAGTAACCCTGGGGGGGATTTTCTGGCCCCACAGCTGCTTCAGGAGCAGCAGTTCCCACAGGACTTTGTGCCAGCTTTCCTAGCAGTGTACAATCCGGATAATGTTCATTATTTTAGCACCTAATGCTTTGGTACTGTAAATCGTCCATAGGACAAGAGCCAGCTGATCTGTACAACAGCCCTAGCTATGAATCCCTTAGGTCTCTTTCTCCCTATGTTGTTTTTCTGCCTCTGGAGCCTGCCCGGCTCTCTTCTGCTGAGCACACGTGTGTCCCGGGAGGGGGAGGTTGTGCTTTGACGTTTCGCCTCCTTTCCTTCCCTCCTGCCGCTCCCAGTTCGGAGCCGGAGCTGAAGTCACCGGATTGGAAGGGATAATGGGAAAAAGGGTGGAGCTGCTGCCACAGGGAAGGAATTAATTTTTGCAGACCTTTTTCAGGGTGGCAGCAGGGCCAGTGGGATGTCCAGGTTCGTAGGGATGAGGGTGCGTGCATCCCCCTTGTCTCCCAGCTGCTGGCAGCACCCATCACCTCGGCAGGAGGTGAGGTGTGGAACCCCCTGTGCCCTTTTGCTCTGGTTTCCTTCCCTTCCCTGGTGGCTTGGGGCCACAGTTGGAGAATTCTAGCCAGGCCTGAAGCTGTAGCAGCTGGTGACTCTCCCCTTAGCCAGCATCCCCGTGTCTGCTCAAACCAATAGCCGGAGCATTGCGATGAGCCAGCATGTACTGGGCTTTTGCGGCCCCATAATTTTGGGTGTAACCCAAGAGCTGCAGCTTGGCAAGATGAAAGCAGGGGAAGGCTTGGCCCAGCTGGGCAGCCAGGGAGCTGGGATTGCTGGATACCTGCAGCCAGCTGCCGGGCTCATTTGCAAGGCACAGAGTGGCCATCAGCCTGCTGAGCCACCCTTTATCGCTAGCTTGGGCTGAGGTTATGGTTGTGGCGTGTGGGGACTGTTGGGGGCTTCCCCAAGGCTGGCAGGTCTAGTGCCAACCACTGGTAGGTCCAGCTCTGGCACCATCACCTCTTCAGCACTGTCCCTGCCTGGTTCGGCTGCAGAAAAAGGGATAGATCAGCAAATTCTGGTTTCTTGGGGAGAAGAGGCGTTGCACTGTATTTTTTGGTGGTGCAACTTCTCCAGAGCCAGTAGCGTCGGGTGGAGGGACCAGCTCAAGCATGTTTGTCTGAGGACAAAGCCAGGGAGAGCAGTTCTCATGATTCAGCTCTCTGGCACTCCACCTTGGGAAGGAGATAAACTGATTGGGATGCCACACTAGTGGTGTGAGGTTAGGAGGAGGCAGGGAGCAGGGGGGGAAACTTCTTTCTCGCATGGGATGATCCAGATGAAACTCTGTCCATCCTCATCTTTGGTAGCCGTGGCTGGACAGAGGGCTGGCTCTGCAGCAGAAGAGAGCAGAGAGAGCTAGGAAAAAGTGGAGCCTCCAGCATCTTGGAAAGGATTGAGGCTTGGAGAGGGTCTAGTCTTGGAAAGGGTCAAATGCATGTTTTGACTCTGATTTCATCCCTACTCTGAGGCACATGATTTAAAGGCTTGTGTTTTTACAGGCATTGAAGTGCCTTCTGTACATTTATGGTGAGGGCTGTTTTGCAGAGAGCTACTCGATCTTTAATAAGTGATCAGAGGCGAAGTTACCAGAGGGAATGTAGTTCTGAAGCACAGATGACCAGGGTTTGGACAAGACATGTCTGATTCTTTGCAACTTTGCCTCTGTCTCCGATGCAAGTTCCATCAGTGGTGGTGGAGTACTCCCTTCTGCCCCCTCTTCTTGTCCCTGCCTCCCTCTTATCTGCTGAGAACTAGATCCAGTCCTCCTCCACCAGGTCCTACACCCCTATGAGTTTCCTAAAAGCAATGGCAGGCTATTCCCACTGTCTTTCTGCCACTGGGGACTTGCCTTCCACCCCCCGGCATGAAAAGCCCTTTTGTGGGTCACTCCAGGACAATAACCCTCTGTTTTGTCCTTTTCTGTCCAGCCGGACCTCCTCAATTTCAAGAAGGGATGGATGTCCATCTTGGACGAGCCAGGAGAGGTAAGCAAGAGGCAGGGACCTGCCTCTTCCCCCAACCTGTGCTTCTTGAGATCCCTTGACAAGCAGCTGATTTCCTTCCCCCTCCCTCACTGAGATCAGTCCCACTGGGAAAGGCATTGAGAAGCCTTTGGTGGAGGTGCCTCACTCTTTGTGCAGGCATGGAGGTCCACCCGGTGCCCCTCTCCCAGCCAAGGGGCATGAGGGGGAGGAGGAAGGGGAAGAGAAGGCCAAGGGGTCATGGTGCAGAGCGTCCCTCCCTGTTCCTATGCTTCCCCTGGTAACTGCCTATCCCTTTCTCTCCTCTCTTTTCCCTTCCCTGCCCTGCCTGATTGGCCTGCAGTGGAAGAAACATTGGTTCGTGCTGACGGACTCCAGCCTGAGGTATTACCGGGACTCAAACGCAGAGGAGGTAAGCACAGCCAGCCTTTCTCCAGCCCTCTCTTCCTTCCCAGCCATCGGGGAGAGGAGCACAGCCCCGGCATGACCGGTGGCACGGGAGAAGCAGCAGCATCCTCTTCTCTGGAAGGGTGCTGGAGGTGGCAAGCTGCTCTTTGCCAAAGGGTGACAAGGACGATGGGTATCTGAAGGAGGCTTGGTGAAGCTGGCAGAGGGGCCTGTCAGTGGTGGGAGGTGAGGAGAAGGTCTGGACCTGTGCTGCTGGATCCATGCTGCTCCTTGGGCTAAAAGAGGCCACGCTGTGCTGGGGAGCTGAGACGGGCTGCTGGGGAGCTGTGGGGTGAAGGCAGAGGGAGCTTGTACTTAAGTGAGGGTGCTGGCAGGTGGTGGGGGTTAGTTTAAAGCTGGGCTTGCACTGGTGTCCTAGCGGGTGGCTGTGCTTGCAGGCTGATGACCTTGATGGAGAAATCGACCTCCGTTCCTGCACAGACGTGACGGAGTTTGCGGTGCAGCGCAACTACGGCTTCCAGATACACGTGAGTGTCCGGCACCGCATGGACATGGAGCAGCAGCCCCAGGGGACTGCGGGTGGGAATGGGCGCTCCCTCCTCCTGCCGGGGTGCTGAGATGCAAGCTGTACAAACCTTTTGCCAGGACAATGGCCTGGCAAGGCTGGTTGGTGACACCTGGGTGGCAGTGCTCAGGGACACAAATGCTGCCTGCCTGCAAAGGAAAGAGGAGGGAGGGGGAAGGTATGCAGGGCTTGGCTGAAGGCTGTGCTGAAGGCAGCCCAGGAGCCAAGCTAAAGGCCAGGAGTATTTACTCGACCTCTCGGCCAAGACAGCTTCTGTAGAGCTGCAGGGAGGGAGTGGTGAGCACTGCAGATCTCTGTGTAGCCTGTGTGGCTGTGCTCAGAGTAACAACCTGTGCCCTGGATCCAGCCCCAGTGCAATCCTGTCCTGGCTACTTGCTGTAGCAGCAGGAGGTGGCTGCCGAGGCAGCACAAAAATGGGTCTTTCTGTGAATGCACAAGGCTGGGCGCTTCACAGCCTGGGTTTCCCTATGGCCTGCTGCTGTAACCCAGTGCTGCTGCCCAGCTCCCAGCACTTGGAACAGCTGGATTGCATCAGCTCACATTTGGCCAAATGTGCTGGCAAAGTTTCTTTTGCCTTTGCCTGGAGATGGTCTCACGGAGGATGTGCAATGGGCTTCCCTGCAAAGACTGTGTACACTCCCACTCCTCCACCTGGCCCCAAGAGTCTTTGAGACAGCAGGTGGCCTCTCTGACACTGTCCCCCTACCCGTGTGAGCGGGTGCCCAGGGAGTGAGGGGAAGCTGCCTGCACCTCTGACAGGGCCTCTGTTGCTTCCCTGTTGCAGACAAAAGATGCTGTCTTCACCCTGTCAGCAATGACCTCGGGCATCCGGCGCAACTGGATCGAAGCCCTGAGGAAGAACGTGCGCCCAGTTAGTACTCCAGATGTCACCAAGTAAGAGCTTCCCCACACCACTTCTCTTCCCTTTCTTCCTGCCCCTATCCCCTGACAAGCAGGGAGTGGGAAGGCCCCTCTGGAAATCTGTCTGCTCCCAGATCAGCCCTGCCCTCGGCTTCTGAATGTGGCCTGGGTACACCAGACAGTGGCAGGGGTTGAAAGCCAGAAGGTTCCCACACTTGGCACCCACTTTTTCCCTCATCATATCAGTTTAGCCCAGTTTCTCCACCAGTATGGTTGGAACTGGGGTGAATTCTCCCTGTTCCATGGAGTAACTTTTTTCCCTGAGGGATGGGATGCTACGGGCCCAGCTCCCCACTCAGGGTGGGGTTTTATAAGGCTGGGCTGAGTGAGGGCTGAGCCTTGGGCAGTGCCTCTTCTTCACTGGCTGCCACTCTGGTTTCAGGCTCTCAGACTGCAACAAGGAGAACTCCTTCCGTAACTGTGTCCCCCAGAAGGGCTCACTCCGAACAGAGGAGCAGCAGCGGCCGGGCTCGGGCTCCGAGGGGAACTCCAAGGGTGGTCACTGGAAGGCAGATGGGCAGCGCCATGCCTTTGACTACGTGGAGCTGTCTCCCTTGCCGCAGGATCCCGGGAATCAGGGGTCCCTGCAGAGGACGAAAGGGAGCCTGAAGGTCTCCGACCGAACTCCCAAGCATGAAGAGCTGGAGCGGGATCTGGCTGTCCGTTCAGAGGAGAGACGGAAGTGGTTTGAGACCCCCGATGGCAGGGTCCCAAACAGCGATGGCCCAGGGGCAGACTTTTCCCGCAAGGTGAGGGAGCAGGACCTCCCCGCACCCCCGCTCACGGAGGAGCAGCGGGTTTGGCTGAATGAGGAGATAGAGAAGAAGTGGCTGGAGCTGGAACGCCTGCCCTTGAAGGACTCGCGGAGGGTGCCCATGACAGCACTGCTGAACCAGAGCAAAGGGGGCCAGGGTGACACCAACGAGGCACTGAAAAAGGAGGTAAGAGCATCCCTCTTCTCTGAAACTGGGATTCTGCTGGCCCCTTCGTGTGGTCCCTGGCAGCAGGAAGCTCTGCAGAAGGGTGAGGCAGAGGTGCAGGGAGGTGTTCGTTCTCTCTGGCTCCATCTGCTACCCATCAAGTGTATGGGAGCTTTTGCAACCAGCTAATGTGAGGCTGGAGACCTGCTCTTGCATGCCTGGAGAGGTTAGCCAGGCCATGTTTGGTCCAGAATAAGTTAGCTGGGGGCACTGCTTGCATGGAGTTTGTTTCCTGGGAGTACATCCACAGCCTCTCTTCTCTGGCTGTTCCCAAGCTTGCAAGCACTACACCTGCCAGCCTTTGAAAGGCACCATGTCCTTGTCTGCCATCCCAGCTACACATGCAGGGCTGGTTTCCTCCAGCACAGATCCACCTGTGTAAGTTGGGGTGTCTCCTCCCCTCCTTGCTAGCACTTACCAGGCTTGGCAGGCTGCCATTCCTGTGGGAAGCAGACATCTCCGTTAGCTATGCATGGTCCTCCCCATCCCTAATCCCACAGTTCGGATGCAGCACATTGGTCAGGCCATGGCACTTTTTCACCCCTGCCTGAGCATCTCTCCCCCATCTGTGGCACAGGTCCAGTCACTGCGGGCACAGCTGGAGTCCTGCCGGGCCCAAAACGAGAGCCTTCAGGAGGCAGCGAAGTCCCAGGGCGACAGACACGTGCCCCGGGGGTACATCTCACAGGTGAGCCAGACGTAGGACCCTGGGGTCGCTCCCAGTCCCAAACTGGGAAATGCTGGGAGGCAGCTTATTGCCGAGCAGGAATTGCTAATCACTGGGTTGCTGTGGTGACCCCAGCTGAGCCCAGTTTCAATCAATGCGAATTATGTAAAGGCTGGTGTGTGTTGCCTGGCCTTAACGGGGACAGAGTGTAAATGGGGAAGAGGAGGAGGGTTAAGAGAGAGGTGCAGGATCTGTGCTCTGCTTTGTGTGTGGGTGCAGTGCTGGCCTGGGCTGGGAGCTGAGCCATCCCCCAGCTCAGGAGTGGGTCAGCAGCCTTCTGCCGAGCCACCCACATGCTCCCCAGCAGTTTGCAGCTTGCCACGTGTGGCTCTTGCTAACAGAGGCTCCCTAATCCCTAGTTAAAAGCAGTCAGTCAGGCCCTGGGGAGCTCCTGTCCCTGCCAGAGCTGCCTGAGCCCTGAAGGTCACTTTGACAGCACGTTCTGTTCTGGGAAGGCACGTGGGAAAGCCCACAAGGCAGAGTTTGCTCACAGCCCCTCGCCTCTCTTTGTTTATTTATTTTGCCCCCCTGTGGCCTCATCCAAAGCAAGCAGGGTCACATCCCGTGAGAGGTTTCCTGGGGGGAGGCTGCTGTTCCACTGCACTGTGGGGATTTCAGGATGTGCCCTACATGTCGAAAGATACCGAGAAGGAAGGAAATAGGGGCTGGTGAAGCCTATTGCAGTAGGTTGGCTGTACCTAGCTCAGATAAAGAAACTCACAAGTCTTGTGGCGCCCAGCCCAACCACTTCCCAGTCGTTCTGTCATCTTGATTTAATATTTACAGTTCACAGGCCTCTTTATGGTCAAAAAAAGGAAAAGGAATGGGGAGGAATGGCAGCTTATCTCCCTAGTAGCTTAGCTCAAAAGACAGCATTTCACATCTGAGGCCAAACTTGGTCTTTCCCCAAAGGGCTCGTTCTCTCACTCTGCCGAGGTTCACAGCCAGCCTGTGGGCAGATCACCAAACTGATCCCTCAACTTTTTATCTCCTCTGGTCACTCTGTGAAGCTTCCCAGCTTCCCTGTATCAGGGAGGAATAGCCAGCAAGGACTTGCATCCCTGCAGCATCTTGCAGCGCCCCTTATATCCACCCTTGCTGTGTACCAGGGGAAGGAATGGGACAGCAGGAGGCTGTCAGGGCATGCGATGGGTTCTTAGCTCTTTGCTGACATCTTAGATGCCTTTGCTTTTTGAAATAGTACTCTGGCACGATTAGGTGGCAACAAGTCTGTTCTAAGGGGCTTGGGGTGGTGCTGCCAGCATCTGCAGGGAGAGTGGAAGCATAGCTCTAAGGTGGGAAGTGCTTGCTTTGCTGTAACACCAGTTAACTACAGTGCTTGGTGTTGAAAGAATCATCCTCTTGGCCTCAGAGCCATCAGAAAGGAGGGCAAGCTGTGTGAGGAGGATCCCTAACCATCAGGCTTTGGGGAAGGCTCCTTGGCAGCCTCTGTCAGGCCACAGGGCAGTGTAGGGTGGCACTTTTCAGCAG